CTGACAAAGTATCAGGAGAACATGATCAGCAAAGAGGTGGCACTATCCAAAATTCTAAGAATTAAAATTGCGAGAATTTCGAATACAATATATGGAGATTGGGAAAGGAAAAGAGCGTGGTATAAATGAAAAAATGATCCAGATAATTGCAATTTCAATTTTATTATTTTAACTGATTAAAATGGCTGCACCTGTTCAGCTACAAGGAACAGACTTACAATTAAACGCGCTCACGATAGATGTCTCTACAACATTCTTTCACCCGCCGTTTCTCACGTCGAATAATCGCCGATGTTGCCGACCGGGCGGTCCAAACGGCGTTGCGTTTGGTCGATATCGCTCTACCCTGCTCTGCCCACCTTGGCGTGAAGATGAAAAACACGGGGACGATGACGGAGTGGGTGGGACACTGTGGCGATCTGAATCGGTGAATCGGTCGCTCGGCGATTGTCGTCCAAGAGGACGCGTCCAACGGCGGGACACTGGTGTGACAGCGAGGAGAGTCGCGCGATTCGCGATTCCCGCGATCGAGGAGGCGTCACGAGGGTGTCGTGCCGAAAGGTCAACCCCGGCAGCTCGGCCCGCGTGTGCATGTGTGTGCGCGTGTGATATGCCGGCGCCCCACTCCCAGGTGCAGCACGGTACGATTCGTCCCTTAAAACTGACTGTTCGCTTCGCGCCCCGGGGGTCCGGTCGAGCACGCCGCCGTGGTCGTCGTCGCTCGCTACTATGCGTGTAACGCACTAACGGCGCATAAATGCCGTCGCCGAGGTGAGCCGGGCTGCTTTCTCGTACGTACATATGTGTATGTGAAGCGATTTATTTTTGCGCGCGTCCTGAAGATCGATCAGCGAGTGTGTACGACGAGTGTGCTTTTCGGTTTCTCTACGCCGCCCTCTCGCTCCGAGGGTGAATCGCGTCGCGTCGCCTCACGTCGATCTTCGAACGCTCAAGTATGAAGGGGAGAGAGAGATGCGGGTGTATATTGCCTTCGGAGTGCTGAATCGTTCAAGTGGAGAAGAAAACTAGCTCTCCCTTCTTGTTTATCCTGTGATACACTGATGTAATTAATTGTCTACATTTTTGCGAGTTGTCCCGCAGTACGCAATACGAGTCTCCGATGCAAATGTATCATTTCGGTTTTACGATCAAGATACGATATGTGGACGGCGTCGTAAGATTTACAGCTCATAATCGCGAGATCTGTCTTTGCATCGCAATTTGAGAGACGAGTGAGAGAGAATTTAATTCATATTTCAAGGTAGATGCGTGTGTACCGTCGAACAGATTGTTCATTTATTTTAAAAGATTCAGTTGTCTCTTTTCGTTTAAAGAAATTTACGGTAGCAATTATTTATATTTACGAGAATGGGTAAATCATTAATTTTTTTCGCCCTTTTTTTCATGCAAATTTTAACGGCGAGATATCAAAAGCCTGAAAAGGTTTCCAGGTTTGCATAAATCTCGCCCACGTGTACTCCATACGTATGTATGTTTCAATAGCAACCGAATAAGCAGGTCTAATTGCGCTCTTAGGTATGCATTGAGTATAGACAATATATCTGGAAAGAGTGACCTATTGTAGCCTTGAACGCGCGTGATTTAGCGTGATTTATATACACCGCGGCGTACAACATTCACTCAATGATACGAATACGAAATAGTGCGTTGTGCGTCACGAGGAAATAAGCGTTGCATTTACGAGTCAGGGATATCAGTTTTTCAATCGACGTGGAGAAAACTTCCTTCTGCTCCACAAGCAGGAAGCTCTAATCTTTTTGTCTAATAACCAGAGAAATAATAGAGAATCAACCGATCGTAAACGTCGTAAACAAAAAACAAAGGAAAATATACCAACTTTATTTCCTGCTAGACGACTTTAGGCTGGCAGGCGGTTTCTTTATTTAAATCCGACGTTTCGACCACGGTGGTGTAGAGGAGATACGGAGAACATTACAATAAATAAATAAATAAATAGCTATAAACCGAGGCCAGAGTCACAAGGATTAAACGAGAATAAATAATGAATGTGTTCGATAGATAAATAAAATATAGCTTAAGATCAAGATGTTGAGTAAGTCAGTATGTATAATTTAAAATTGTATTAAGCTACAAAAGCGAAGTCGGAGTTGAACAGGGTAAAACAAGAGTGAATAATAAATACATTCAATAAATAAATATATATATAGATTGAGATAAAGGTGTTGATTATGCGACATACGACCCGTACGGTCGAAACGTCTGATTTAAATGAAGAAACCATCTGCCAGCCTAAGGTCGTCTAACAATTCTTTTTATCGTTAATCAACTACTGGTGATTCACATCCTTTCGTTGTTTACTTCTTGCTTCTATTATATCAATAAATGAACGAATACAGTTTTATATTGGAAAAGAGATAAAGAGAAACAGCTTTCGTCTGTTTATTAAGTTTTATTTTTATCTGAATTAGAAGTTTGAAAAATTTCGAGATATGCCCTAGTAAACCAATGATTTCTAAATAAGAACAAGTTTAATGCCAACAGTGACTATTCGCATAAGTGTAAATTATATTTTCAAGTTGCATCGTTAACTTTCTTTGATTTACACCTTTCGCATCAGTATATTTCCTATGCTAATACAATCTTGGGACTTATGTTCTTGACTTGTGCCGGTTGTAGCATGTACGCGCTGCAGATGCGAACCGCTTGCCAGGGCGAGGGAACTGGTGAGCCCGATGACCCCAGCAGCCTTCATCAGGAACCAGTGCGAGCTGCCACCCAAGATTGCAGCTCTTTCGATATTGTCCGAGCCGTACAGGTAATCTCGACAATCGAATTGGAGAATCTATATCTTAAATTCATATTTTTAAAAGATGAGGATCATACATCATTCGAGAGCGCGTAACAAGCTCATAAATGTGTGACTAGCATTACCAAAATCTAGATTTAAGATGATCAAATGTACTTGCAGTATGGGGCGTTGGATCGAGTGACGCAGTTGGTGGAAGCTGGTGCCGATGTGAACCAGCCGGATTCGGAGACCGTGACGCTATTGCACTGGGCTGCTATAAACAATCGCAAAGATGTTATCAAGTATCTCATTGCAAAGGGAGCCATAATCGACGCTATCGGCGGTGAATTGGCCTCTACGCCGCTGCATTGGGCCACGAGGTCAGTGTTTTAACAAGTGTAAACGATATTATTCAAAGTGAACTATATGATTTAAGTAAGAATAATTGAGAACTTTGGAAGTGAACAATTTTACATAACGCATAAAGCTTCCTACGATTTTCCACAGTTTTTCAGCACACAGTCTCCATGTTAAATGTAAATTCATAAGAGTTCCTTTTAAAAAGAATTTAAAAAGAGAATTAGTCTTCGTTTGTGCTTGTAGACAAGGCCATCTCTCCACAGTTGTAATACTGATGAGGGCAGGTGCTGATCCAACCTTGAGGGATTCCGAAGGTTTTTCCTGCGTACATCTAGCGGCACAGTTTGGCCACACGGCCATAGTGGCTTATTTGGTGGCGAAAGGCGTCAATCCAAATATGCCGGATAAAAGTGGCATGACTCCCCTTATGTGGAGCGCCTATAAAGTCAATAGGTACATAAAGCACTGAATTATTATTCTACAAGCGACTTCTTTTTCCGATAGAATAACGTTATATTGGTTACTTTGAAGTTTTTCCTTTTACAGTCTAGATCCAACACGACTGTTGTTGACCCTGGGTGCGTCGCACTCATTTATCGATAATCTGCATGGTAACACAGCCCTGCATTGGGCCATTATAGCCAAAAATAACACGGCAATATCCACCCTAGTACAACACGGAGCCTTGTTAGACCTGCCCAATTTCCAAAATGAAACGCCGATGACGCTGTTAGGCCCGCACATCGGCGCTGCGTGGTTGGGACATAAAATCAGCCAGGAAATTAAGGAGAAGCAAGGTCGTGCGAGAACATGGTGTAGAAATAAGGTAACCATAATGTGTTTATAAGTGGATTACAATATGCGTATCTTTTTCAGAGTTAATACACTTTTTAAGAGAGAATTTGCCAGACGTATTTTTCAGTACTTCTCGTATCATCATTGTGTATTTTCTTTTGCAGAAAATCCGTTGGTATTGCATGGTCAGTACGCCGTTTGTAGTGTTTTATATGATCGGTATGATTCTACAGAGTGGATGGAATTATTTATTAAAACTAGGTGCCTTCATCACCGTTTATGTAGCGGTGTATCTAATGAACCATTTCGTGTTCGACGAACGGCTGTTTCACATTTTGCCAATGTCGATTTATTTGGCGACCAAGGTAAGTGTAATTGCGAGTCGTGTTCTATAATGTCAAGATAAATGAGAACGCTCTTACGTGCGATTAGTTTCTGATAAACCGTTAAACGTGATAAGAAACCTTGTCGATAAGGTGATAAGCTCAAAAGACAGTGTTTAACGCAATATTAAGTAAATCATCCTATAGATGATATAATACTATGGATAAATAAATATGAATATGAGTAAAATTAAATTATTAGAAGCATGCAATGAAATTCAAGTTCTTGTAAATTCTCATATATGTAATAATACATATTAATAATATGTACGAAAATAAGATTGTAATACGATAACACATGTGAGAAGTACAACAATGGCTTACAAGTTATCAGTATTATCGTTCATAAATAAATCTTATTGATATACCTTATTTATGCATTGTTTATGTGATAACAATTACATCAATGATCGATTCACTGCTTGTTGATCTACATAGTTAATTATAATTGCAGATTCTTTTTCTTTATCATTTCAGATGTGGATATATGTCACGTGGATCTTCTGGCTGGGTATCCATGCAGCATGGTATTTATGGTTGTTATTGGTCGGTGGATCCGTTCCTTTCTGGATATGCTTCCTGCAGTCTTGGCGGGGTGATCCCGGAATTATCACGGCTACTCACGAGGATAAATTAAATGTACTAACGCTATCTTATTATTCTTACATATGAAACTATTTCATGCACACGAATAACAAGTGTATGCGTATCCTTTATTTGCAGACGATAATTGAATTGGCCGAATCGGGTGGTTTTGAGCCGCAGTGGTTCTGCAGTAGTTGTCTAGTCCGAAGACCTATGAGATCTAAACATTGTTCCACGTGTGACCGTTGTGTAGCACGATTCGATCATCACTGTCCATGGGTTAATAACTGCATTGGTAAGCAGACAAGAGTACTGTATTCAGTATTAATCAACGTAATTTTTTCGTTGATTAGTAATTAATTTATCATATTTGTTTCTTCTAATATCAAATTATAATTTTTTTTACTTATCTTATTATATTTTTTATCTCATAAATTATAAATTATGTTTTATAAAAATTAAGTCTAAAGCCGGATGGTCGTTATTATATATCCTACGCTTTTCAGGTGCACATAATCATAAATATTTTCTTGGATTTGTGGCGTCTTTGTTGGGATTGTGCATCGTTATTTTATCCGCCAGTATACAATATTGGCAATTTGAGTGTTGGTCGAACTTAACAAACGGTCATAGCGCGGATAATTACCTAATAGCTGCAGCTACCTGTGACGCTTGGGTGATGTGGGTAGCAGCCAACACGTCCCTTCATTCTTTCTGGGTTGGGATTTTGTTGGCGTGTCAATGCTATCAGGTATGACTATATTGTAATTTTATTAATTATGGCTGACAAAAATGAAATTCTTTTCAGTTTTAAATATTATATTACTTGCGAGTGATTATGATTATATAGAGGAAAGTCCTCTATTGTGAGATAGGATTCTAATAGGAGATAGTAGGTTTTCAACGTCCAAATTTAATCGCAATTCTTTTCTCGCGACGATTACATGGTCTAACAATAAATTTTCCACGAAACAGATTTTATTCCAAGGGCACTAAATCCCTGGTGGAACCAACAGACGATGCCTATTAATTTAGCAGAAACTGCGCTATTTTATATTAGGAGTTAATATGGTACTCTCCTCTACATATATTCTTTATGTTTGTAGATCATGGTCCTGGGAATGACAACAAATGAACGCATGAATGCTGGCCGTTACAAACACTTTAAGCAGGGGAATCCGTTCCATCGCGGTGCCGTGCAAAATGCCGCCGACTTTTGCAACTTCAGCTTTTGCGGAGTGAAGGCGAAGCCAAGTTCGGATTGGCTGCACAGTTTCGATCTCAAGCAGAGCATCGAGAAGTTACCTTTGCTCGCGCAGAAAGATAATTTTCAGTATGTTTAGAGTTCTGTAAGTAGCCGTGAGAAGCTAATTGTACACACATACATACATCATATCACTTATGCCTGATGTACTCCTTGGGCCACCAAAGAGTTGCCGCAAACATGTAAGTGACTTTCCGGTACGGCAGTAATTATGCATACACGGACGATTTCGTTCGCATATTCTCTAAGTAGCTTTATTATACAGCAATCGCTGAATAACAGTTTTCGATTCATGTCGTGAAAGACTTGTTGCAAATGTGCATATCCCACCTATACTCTACTTAAAGATATCGACGAGTGATGAAACAATACAAATGCACAAATTTCATGATTCAAATTAATCCTTTGTTGCCCAAATATAATCAACATGAGGGAGGAATGAGTTTCTGTAGCATTTATTTAACTGCAAAACTACAATTATCGATAAAGGAAGGGGAACACATAAAAAAAATTGTAGATTAGAAGTTAATTTGTAATTGGGCAGCATAGAGTTATTAATTTCTTCAATCAGTCATATCAGTTATGTGTCATCCTATTTATGATATTAAAGTTTCTTTCTACCAAACAAGAATAATTATTCTTTACATTAAACGCTTAATATTTATCTAGACTCGTATTCATTTACTAACGTTTATTGATTAGTCCACATCTGATTTCAACTGATGATTCAACTTGCTTTTTCAAGAAGTAAACGCACTTAGAGCTTGAAAGTATGTACTATTCAATAAATATAAATTTATAAATCTGATTGTACAAGTAACTTAATCTACAAGATCACTGTTATTACAAATATTTTATGATCAACAGAATAACTGGAAATCTATATTTCTCATTGATGCAGATATTCGAAGAATATTTATATGCATTAATTCTCGATAAATTCTACAATTCATAATTAAAAAATAAATAAATATTAAAATAATAAAATTTATCGACAGACAAGAAGTAATAAAACATGCAAATATAATGCAGTGTTTAAAAATTCGTATAAGGCGTAAAATAATGAAGTTGTGGGGCCTATATGACATCGCTATAAATGTTATAAATTATGCAAATTAGAACGTATAAGAAAATCAAATGCTGTGCGGTAGAATTATAGCCAAGAGAGAACTACATAACAGCTATTTATACTGTTTAGTCTATATTGTTCGTATTTGTAAGAGAGTCTACCTGACTTAAGTGCCATGTTATGCTTCTTGAAATGCATTTACGTACTCGACATTACATACTTTTGTTGAGATCTACTATTTGTATTGGTTATTGTTGCGACAAAAGTGTAATATTTATAATAACACAATATCTGCGATCGTGAATCAATATTACAAATTTCGTGATGTTTTTTTAAGGTCTCTGTGTTATAGCATGTATAAAGCATATCTCGTCAAAAACGTTTAGATCACAAAGTCGCTTTTTTATATGTTAAACAAAGAGTAAGTCTAAAGTATCGTTACGCAACAAAGAAATCATTTAACTCTACTACATGCGACGGAGAACGCTGTGTGTGTGTGTATTGTAATTTAGTATTTAACTCCAAACTGATAATTCTTCCAAATTATATATGTACAAATTATCGCAGAAAAAAAATTATTGCTTGTACATTCCGATTAACGATAGCATTTTATAATGAGGATGTAGAAAATGTCAATTTATAGGGTATCTCGTCAAATCTTTCGAAACCGAATAAGTTGATTGATGAGGAAATATATTTGTATTATTTTTTAGACGCACTCATGAAAATTGGTGTAAGTGTAACGTAAGATGGTTTCTTTTAAGCCTGGAGATGTACCTTTTACGGAACATTGTATATTTTATTTAACATAAAGTATTCCTATTTTCTAAAACTTGAGTCTGATGACTTGATCTCGATGAGTGCATGTAAAAGTGAGTCGATTGAAGGTTGGATATTTGACAGCTTCGATTTATGATATGATAATATAGGTACAAATGTACATTTAACATCAGAATTATTCTAAATACGCATTCGTACTAAATGAGATGCCGCACATTGTGCGTTTAGACGCTAATTATATCGATGACAGTTCCGTTTCCTTTCATTGTAAGAAATTCCATGATTGTTTATTTATGTGTAAATGTTAATATTTCATTTGATACGTCTATACATATTTCATTTTTTTTAAGTATCAAATCTAACGTTAGGTCTTTTTATCATTCAAGCATCAATACGTCTTCGAGATTATTGATACACATTTAACTCTAGGTTCGATATATTTGCTGGTTGTATTAGTTCATGCCCGACGACATCGTGTACAGAATAAGAAACATTCGTGTACAAAATGTTCAGAAACATACAGATAGTTTTAATATGGACATACTTGACATAGCAATCACGCGATTACTGCAAACCGAGTCTCCATGTCAATGTTGTTAGCAAAGGATACATGTATAAATATTATAAATATAGCAATATACATAGAATAATACAAACTGATTGTACTATAATACCATTTGTCGAACAATTACATTTATCAAAAGTATTAATTTTGCGTCGGATGGCTCCATTCGATTGTTGCGTTAATTACTTTTATTTCTCAATCTAGTCCAAATGAGATTAGTAGCGAACAATAGCATTGATATATTTTATTAACTATTGTGTTGTGATTACTTCCTATATGGAAGATTTAACCGTCGAAGTAAGCTGTATTAATCTTAACTTCTAATGTATTTCATAATATTTGAAGATCGGGATCGAAATCGATATAATTTCGCTGAATTCACGAATGGACAGCGAGACCAACGATGTATGGGCGCATACTGATTTTCACGTTTATCTCTGTTGCAAACGGAACGCGACAATTGGCATAATGCCCAAATTTTCGCGTAAATTATACCGATTTCCATCCTCGCAAATCATGAGTATCAATGCGTCGTTAAACAAACGAAATGATACGATGCAAAAGTAACAATACGTTTTTACAGCCGAGAAATATACATGTACTGTCATAACAATGAATGTTATTAACACACGCACGTTTCTTATATATTGCTACATTCTCTTAAGCTCCATAAAGATAATTTTAAGATTTTAAAATAAATATATATATATTTAATGAAGAAGAAAAGAACAGATGAATTCACAGATGTAAAATTATAGTCACGATGCAATACCTTTATCGTTACTGTGATTTGCGAGGTAATACAAAAAAAACATATGTAACACGTATACATTGAATGTTCGAATTGCTGTTAAATTTTTGACGAATTATAACATAATGTACACATGATGATGGTGCGTCATTTACTATCTTTTAAAGTGATAATCGTCCTACTCTGCTTCCAGCTCTGTTTAATGTAAATAAAAGTTTAAATAAGTCTAACACCTCGCTGAAAACATATTTGACAAATGTATATGCGTGTGTCGTTTTTTTTCCAAAAAAGCAAAATTAAATGTGCTGTATATGTTTCTTTCTCATTTCTCTCATAACATATATTACTATGACAGATAAACCTGAAAAGAATGTCTTTCTTAACAGCAAACAATTGTACTAGTATAATGCTTTTCAGTCTTCTACTTGCAATAACAAAATCGTTTCTTGCAATTATCTTGATTATTTCTCTATTTTGATATAAATATTGTTTTTTTCTATTATTTATAGTAGGCTTCTTAGCGAAAATTTTATTGGACTTTTCGTATCTTAATTTTTAATATTCTCATGACTTTCGTGTCTGTGATATTTCATTTCGGATTCCCATTCCCATACAGAAATTACAATTGATACGACTTGAATGTGCAACGTATAATACGACTGCAGGTCACTTTTGTTATTGTCTTTGTTTCGAGTTTGTGTTGTAGTTTGGTTTGCGTTACTCGACGTTGATGTTATTTTTATAATTTTCCATGTGTTTGTGAGGAAATCCGTTTAATATGGTTACCGGAGAGGATTGTTCTTGCGCCGACACGACGGAACCTTCCAATTTAACGTCCTTGCGCTCGGATGACGCTACCTCAACCATAAATTCCGATGTAAATGCGGTCTGCACCAAAACGGTCGATAAGAGGAACGACGCTGTTGAGAAACCCAAAGGCATATATTCGCTGTATTTTTTCAAACGTGAAAGCAAACTATATGTAACAAAGCGTCCGAAAGGCACGCCGAATATTCCTTTGACGTAGATCTTTTTAGCGAAACTATTGTCCACTTTTTTTTTCCTTAAAACTTTTGTGCACAGAGGGTGGTCTATGATTTAATGCCTTGCTTCAATTTTACCTTACGCTAGGTCTATTCTATTTACTTTTATTTACCGTTAAATAACCATTCTATTTGTATCTTATCATGCAGAAACGGACTGCAAGTGTTCCAACGCATCGCTGGTCGCAACTTATTGCGTAGCCGATGTCCCGTCCACGGTCCCAGGAAAACCGGATCGCCAGTCGCAGCGGAAGAAATCGAGGAGTCAGCCACCTGCAATGCAACTTAAATCGAGCTTCCCGTGCCTCTGTCACAGTCACAAAATGTAACACTGTCGCACCCGTTTTATCTCGTTAGCTCATTTATTTCTCAAAGCAGATTTATCGTTCCAGCAACGGCTACGTTTTGCCTGTAAAGCTCAAGGAAGGTACGCAGAGACGTCGTCGAGACGCATACCGAAGGTATGCGGAATGTTAGCGATCGCATTTTTCAGATAAACCGCAATCGCGTCCGTTCTGGAGCCGTTGGAAGCGGCCGGGAAACGGCAAAAGGGACAAGATGTACGAGATAAAGCTGAAACAAGTTCAATGTCCCCGCTATGCAAAGCCGCGTCTAAACGGCGCGCCTAAACAACACCTCGACGCATTGCAACCACCGTACGAATCTCAACTCTTGGTCTCCCGTGAGGAACTGTCGGAAGGGATACCGAGTAAAAGCGTCAAGAACGAAGCCGGCAAATCGAGACCGCCTAAATATCCAACGAAAACGAAACTCAAGAGGGAGGAAACGGCGGAGAAGATCGAGATCTACTATTTCGATCACGGGGACTCCGCGTGGGTATCAGCCACTCGAGAAGACTACTTCTCGAGTATAAAGAACGTTCCCCCAACTTGCTTCACGTGCTCTATACGGCGGACTCCCTTTAGTTTTTAGAATAAAAATTTCTAAATTAATAACAATGAAAAGATGAAACGGTAATCGATCACTCGGATATAATGCCTCTCGCAGATATTATCGAACAACTGATTGCCATCCTGTACTAATCACGGACAAGTGCGCCGAAAAGACCGATCAGGCAGCGACCCGCTTTTGGGCGGAGATCTTCGGCACGATTCACATCGGTATCGCCTTCGTCACGGCCTTCATTCTGCAGCTCCTACGCTTCGTGCTCTACAGCGTGATCCGGCCGTTGACAGTGGGAATACTTCAACTGGTAGCGGATTACTTTGTGAAACCGCTGCTCTCTATTCTGTTTAACGCCCTCGTGCAACCCGTATTGATTTTGCTTTACAACATCGCGACGTCATTGAGGGACCTCTGCGAACCGATAGCCGAGGCGATGGGCCTATTCCTGAGGGAGATTGCGAGTCTCTGCGCCGCGATCAGGATCGTGGAGGTGAAGCACGTTCACGCGCCGACCACTGCTTGCACTTGACCTCGTAAACGAAAACTGGAGACTCTTCCTCAAGAGAACGAGCTTTAGTATCTTGACTGAAGATCCTCGAAGGATTTTTGCGAATCTTGAATCGCAGACCCGTTCCCGAGAGGGATCTGCATTCCCGCGCGTTCGATACATTACCAACAACACATGCCTTAACACCAGGTATATATTTGGTATTATTTTAACTTTACAATATTATTATTGTGTCATTTTTTACAGAACAAATTATCTCTTATAGCAACTAGCTTTGTCAATTATAATCAATGTTCGTTCTTTGTTACTCTCGCGCATTCTCTCTCTCTCTCTCTCTCTCTCTCTCTCTCTCTCTCTCTCCTCCTCTCTCTCTCACCCCTTTCTCGTGTATCTTACCATTTAATAAATTATGTACAATCTCACAAACAACAAATGGAGGAACCTAATTACATCATGTAGTTGTTCACACTTTGCTATGTACAGGTACTACTGGTATATCTTTTCTCATTTTTTACAGAATTGCTGCTCTCTCTTTCATTCTCTCTCACTCTCTCATACTTCTCTTTCTCTCGCTTTCTTTTGCCGCGGCCGATCGTATCGCAATGAACCTTATTTTTCGCATGTAATCTACAAAAAGAAAAGAAAGGAGACAAAAAGAAACCGAATGAACGAACGTATCGCCTATCGTCACCTAGTCTCAGGAACTGCAACCTCTGCTCGCTCGCTAAAACGCATCGCAACGATCTAGGTGGTACTGCTAGTGTTCGTGGTGGTCGGAGTCTCCTGGATGGCTAAGGTCTGCGAAGGCGCGGATGTCGAGTCACCTGCAAGCAAGAAGCCAAGGGAGGGATCAATAGCATAAAATCGAGCGTGTATGTCTCCGGGCCGTATAACATGGTAGACTAAATATACGCTTAATGCACCGTAATTGGGTTCGTCCCTTAATCGCGCGATTGACCCGTAACTGACAAGGGAGCCTTCTCTTTATATCGACGTCGTTAGCCCTACTTTTGTCGATAACGGGAGAGTCATCAAAAGCACTTCCAGGCACGGTCGTTCTTTTTTCTTCAATAAATTCTTTTCTAGTTCAAGCCGAATTCAATCGTCTTTGTTAAGGGATTACGAGTAACGAGAAGGTTCCCTAAGACGTGAGCCTATTGGTCGTCGAGGACAAAAAAAAAAGAGATTCCGCCGTTCAAAATGCGCAATCCAGTCTCGGATCTCTCGCCGGCATTGCGTAATCGGCATCGATCAATACTACATCGGTGGCGGCGGCGACGACGACGGTCGCGACGGCAACGTATAAAACTTACCCAAGAGGGCGGCCTCTAGGTCCCCCAGGATCTCCGTCTCCTTGGGGTCTATAAGGTTGAAGCGTTGATTAAGGAGCGTGAGGTGGGCGAATACACAATTGAGGTGAGCGTGCAACCCCAAAAGCGCCACCTCCCTGAAGTGGCAGTGGTAGATGTGTGCCACTACGTGGTACAGTAGCCGCAGGATCTTACGCACTATCGACTCGAACGAGCTCGGGAACTCGTTCGCTGAAACACATCACGGCGACATTAACGTCGGTCGCTCTTTCCAGACCCGCTTGATTATATAAACACGAATAAGGTCAATACTGAGCCGATCGATCAACAATTAATCTTGGTAGAGCTACGTACCAGGAGAAAGTTCATTGAAGTAATATTTTTAATTATATTAAAATATACACTAGACGGGAGGGCGAGGGAGGGCGAATTATATACGTAGCGTTGAGAGGAGGATCAACTCACCATATTTTGTAGGGAATATAGTTTCGTCGCTAACGGTGCGTTGCGTAAATGTCATAACGTAGTCTATATATTGTGGCGCCGCAACCCTCGTCTTCTTACCCTTTTCGTCGAACCACAGATACGTTCTGGAACAACAAATCAATCGTCAGAATTCGATCGGCTGTTCCGAAGGCAAGCTGACGAGGACGATTACGTACGACGTACGTAAATAATTTCGACGAAACTTGCGCTGATGAAAGACGTTAGCTTTTCGTCGGAAGCACGACAACATTTAGCAAATGCATTCAACGGAGATAGAAAACGCGATGAAAGGTGATACCTTCAACCACAGAGAGAGCCGAAAGGATAATTGAAGAAGACACCATGGGACACGTACCTTAAGCCGGGACCAGTCATGTCGGGACAGCCCGTCATGGTGCAGAACTCGGATATCGTGCCGTAGACGAGATTAATGTGGTCAAACAATGCGAGGGTGTGCGACGCCAGCCATTCGTTGTAGTCCAGGCCGGGCGGTAGGTCCACGAGCATCCTCAGGTCCAGCTCCGGTAGCTGCCTCTCGAGGGCGGCCTCCTCCAGGTACAATTTCGGATCCTCCGTGGTTCCCGCATCCTTCTCCTTTCGTCTGGCCTTTCTGCAAAACGAGAAAGCGATCGCGCGGTCAGCGAGACGAGCCTCGGAAAGTTGTCTTCAAAAACGTTCAAGCCAATCAAGCGGTATCACGGGGTGTCGCGTGTAAAAGGCGCAAATATGTACATGTAACACAGCACAGCCTCGTGTGTGGATGAGATTAATGGGCACGCCGTCCGAAACCAAATCGATCGGTTCTTGGCGAGACACTCGATCGTCCTTTGTAGAATTTCGTTGTTATTGCCATACCCTGGCTGAGGTCAATTTTTCGCAATAAATTAAAAAAATTTTAATCATCTAGACACTAACACATCCTGTCTTGGCTCTTGTATCCTTCATTACTTCGTACTCGTGATTTCACGTCAGAGCCTTCCGAATTCTATTTGAAACTTGAAGAGTTCACGGTAAAGTTTCGTTTCGACAGTTTATACAGCGATAAGAGAATACTCGCGAAAGGAGCGAGAAAAATATCGACGTTATTGTAGAATCGATATCGAATGTTTAATTACAAGGAAAAGGGGATGCTAGAGTGGTTTGATTTACCCACAGAGTCGCATACAGTTTTTGCGTTTGTAAATCTTATTATTGGCATTTACGTACAAATAATACCAGACTGGATTGTGGACTGCATAGTAGAATATTTTAATATAAAAAACATCGAGGTTTGAGATCTAATTCGTATCGCATTATGTATTTGCAAATTTAAAATACACAATGCGATACGAATTAGACTTCAAACCTCGATGTTTTTTTATATGAAAATGTTCTACTGTGCAGTCCACAATCCGGTCTGGTAATATTTTGTACGTAAATGCCAATAATAAGATTTACAAACGCAGAAACTGTAAGCGACTTGGTCGGTATATCAAACCACTCCAGCGTCCCCTTAAGATTAAAATGATGAAAATATGCCAATCGTAAATAAAAATAATGTCACAGAGGACAACAGGTGGCACAATAGCATCGAGTGCGTCGCGTTTAAAGCAAATCTCTCCGGGGAAGTTGTCGACGAAAGTGCCGACAACTTTTTTTTCCACGACACACCACCATCGCCGATTCACAGGCGCGCTAATTTGCGGTCTCCAGGTTGACCGGAACAGATTGAACGGAGCGTTTCGTCTTTAATCGACTGACGCGAATTCATTAATCAAATCGGCGAATTATCGGATTTGCACGATTACCCTCGACGCTTTCCCAGTCTATTCAATTTGTCTTTAATTTATCAGCGGAGCCGAGCGTTGCGTTTCTCACATCACGCACTCTTCTTCGGCGTAAACAAGAAGTTAGAGAACGTTTCCAACATCGCTCAATTAGAACTCCTTTCGATACGGATACGGTCGCAAAGTTAATGTTGTTCAGTGGAAAACTAGAAAAAATCGACAGTGCAATGCGCTTTTATCGTAAAGAGACAGAGTCCACGTCACTTTAGGTAGCGACGCAGCGATAGCAGATTAAAATATAAAACGCTATATTTTACATATTAATAGTGTTGACATATTAATACTGAGCTTGCTCAGTAGTACGCAGCAGTAGCGTCGCACATTCAGCCTCCTGCCAGTGAAAAATGCAATTACATGCAATAACGATAGCAGCGAGGTTCAGCCACGTCTACAGGAACCAAAGCGCGCACAAGTCTCTCTCTAGAAAGCGCACATGCTCCTGGAAAGAAGCTGCATCTCCGCACAGAAGGAAAAAGGCCGATTCGCGTCAGCCCAGATGTACAAATTCATCCTCGTCCAATGACGTGTGTCTCTAATCGCGTACAACAGTCATCCCGTACAATGATACTCGTCTATGACGCTATCGATGCCCTCGGGCATGTTACGGCAATTTATTACGGACACTCGACTCTCCCCATTTCAATCCGTACATCTCTCGCGTACAAGATGCGCTTTAATTACACCGGGCTAATTCCACGTTACGGCACGCACATATGCACATATCTACACGATATCGTGTTGCGGGAGGTGGGGAGAGGGACGTAGGGGCCGGGGGTCCGGGGCGGAGAGGACAGGAAACTCACGCGACTAGCTCGCCGAAGAGCCGGATCTTCCTGTGGCAGGTGTCGAGCAGGGAGAGACGCGAGGAGGAGGCGCTGCTCGAGCTGCCGGCGCCGGTACCGGCGCCGCCGTGGTGCACCGGCGTCGGCGGCGCCGAGACGGTGGTGGCCGAGGACGCCACCGCGGCCGCCGCCGCCGCGGCAGAAACGGATGCGGAAGCGGAGGAGGGCTCCCGTAGGACGGTGACGGCGCCGCGCGCCGGTGAGCGTAGCATCGTTGCCGTCGACGTCGTCGTCGTCGTCGTCGTCGTTGTCTTCGTCTTCGTCTTCGTCGTCGCGATCGTCGTGCTCGAGGACGATCTCCTCGGCGCGCCGCCCTCGTGCCTGAGGATCCGCTCACGCACGCTGGGTAGGCACCAAATCTTGTTTGTTTGGCATCGAACGGTGGTCAGCACGCGGCCGGGACGGCTTTCTCCGGATCTCCCTTTCGGGACCGGTGGCGATCTACGCTCGGCAGAGACCGCGGAAGCGAGAATCCCCCGAGCGCGTTAAGCAATTTCTTTGGTATCGAGGACGGAAGGTGTTCGGCGGATCTCCCTTCGGTGCATCCGCTCGGGTAACGGTAGATTTTCGTTTCCTCTAACGAAGCTTCTTCTCCATTTTCTTCCTCTTCTCGAAAATCCGTT